TAGTTGTGCACTGAGCGCAAGCGTCTAAACTGTACTATAGGGAACTTCTTCACAATTCTCCGAATCAACGTACAGCATCGTAATGTGTGTATTGACGCTGCCCGAAAAAATCTAATTTTTCAAGAACCCGCCTTCTCCATTTTAACTACCACCAGAACACTGGCGTCAAGTGGGAGATCGTCACCAGCGGGTACCAAATCCGACTACAAAAAACATAGAAGAACAGCTAGTAGTTCTGTGGTGCGGCTGCCCAGTGGAGGGAGCGTGGGTGGGAGGGGGGTTAAGATGGTGAGAAGCCAAAATTCAGAAAAAGATTTCCGACGACCAGGGGAAATTCCTTTCAGAACCTGATGAGGCTCCCGTCGGCCGAATACGACCCCACCTCCCCCAATCCCTCCATTGGTGGGGATCTCCCAACTATGTCGTACCGTACTCCAAATACACCATGCATCTTATTTATGTTCAGCATGATACACACAAATAAGCAACTAACTGACTTGAAGCAAAATACCCATGAATCTCTTCTCACCAATACCGCCAATCATCGGAAGCAAGGGAGCGGGCGCGTAATTCACACTTTCGTGGTAATTCACGGAGAACTTTTCCAACACATCTGCGTGTGAGTCGGATGCATGGCGCAATACAGATGCGATGTAAATCGTCACCGAGTTCACATTTCTTGGTGACTGCGGAAGTATGCCTGCAAAAATAAGTTACGGGGAAAGGAGGGAGCCAGAGTGAAGAGAGCGAGCACCAACATGGGGTAAGAGGTCGGTAGGTGCTCGCAAATTTTTCGACTCAAACATGCGCCACCATCCGGCACCATGTAAGAAGTGAAAAATTATCTTCTTTGTATTTTTTTCACTATACGTTTGTAATACATTACCCCCTGAATGCTTTCACTCGGAACGATTGCCCTGTGACTGCAATTATAGCGAGACTCGCTCACTAATAAGCAATCTCAGGTTTCTCGATGACGTGGTTCTCGAAAGTAGGCTTTTTTTGAGTTTCAAATGTAGAGCCCACGATCAATTACATTATCTAAGCTGGGAGCAAGGGGTTGTGTGGACTGCAACGAGCAACCCTAATAAGTTTCAGGAAGTGATAAGGTAGCGGTGACGGAGTTTGAGGGATTCTTCACGAAGAATCTGTTGAAGGCAGTGTTCGCGATGAGACAACGAAAAGTTTGTAGGTAACGGGTTCAGGAACAGAGGATATGTGCCAGTTGATGCGCCCGTGGAGGAAAAAGGAAAGAAAACCGTCAA